AACAACAACAACAACAACAACAATGACATTTATAATGCGCAAATTTCATAAAATGTTCAAATGCACATGACAAGATTAAAACCGAAATAAAAAGGCTAAAAACCTAAAATTACAATTAAAAGTAAACTTACAATAATAAAAACAACTATGATAAAAAATGCATGACGGAAAAGGTGAGTCTGTCCGTAGCACAGTACGTGAGTCTCGGTTTGGTCTAAGGGACGGGAAGGAATATTCCTGACCCAGTTATCGTCAGTTTTCGGTTGTTTTTTGTCTTTATTGTGTTGAAGTCTTGTCAGTTTTCGTTCTTGTTCAGTACGAGCGCGTTCTGTGGTTTTGTCGGCGATTGTCGTGACAGTGTCAAGTAAGTTAGTCGGTAACAGTTGTTTAAGTTTGTCAAGTTGTTGTTGTAGTTTATTGTTGCAGTAGTTGAGTCTTCTGTGACAGTCGTTTATCCGCGCTTTTACCAGACGTCTGCAGGTGGATTTGACGATCTGGATGGCCTCTTGTGTGTTCAACGGAGACTTAAGTTTAAGTCCGGCAGGAACGAGACCGTGGTCTTTCAGCGGTGGTTGAACCAAAGTTGTTGGCGTATTCGTCTGACAGTACTTACCGAGCTGATGTAGTTGTTCGCAAGTCGTTCGTTCTGTCGTCCAAGTGAACGTAACGTACACTCAGTGACGCTTAAACGGATACCGACTGATTCTATTGTATCTAGTGCTGAGGCGGTTCTGTCTCGTCAGCGAGACTTATCAGAATCTGCCAAGGATAACATCAGAAGCAGAATTACTTCCACGGTACAATCAGCCTCTATACATGACAATAACTTGACAAAAGACGAACAAGAAGCACTGAAACGACTGAAAAACGACAACAACATTGTTATACTACCAGCCGACAAAGGACGTGTCACTGTTGTTATAACGACAAACAAACTTACGAAGAACTTAAACGTGACCCGACGCCAGCTCTTCAACGTAAACTTAACAGCAAAATACTTACGCTTAAAAAGACTGACGCTACTGACACTCAACGCTACTATCGACTGAGGTGTTCTGTACCACAACCACCGAAACTTTACGGACTACCGAAACTCTGGTATTGGGTATACCGATGCGACCTCTAGTGTCATTCTCATGTGGGCCCCCTACGTATCAACTCTCTAAGTACTTGACGACCATACTGCAACCCCTCACTGACAAATCAAGACGCAAACGACATTCTACGGAGAACTTTATTGACGCTATTAAGACAGTACAGATACCTGGCGACTACAAACTTGTGTCTTTTGATGTGAAATAACTGTTCACCAGTATTCCACTTCAATTGGCATTACAGTGTACCGAGACCGCTATACAACAAACTACTGTTAAACTACCGTTACCGACAGAGGACATCATAGACTTACTGAACCTTTGCCTTACATCGACTTACTTTCAGTGCAACGGTAAACACTACATACAGTTGGATGGAACAGCCATGGGGTCGCCTGTTGCTGTTGTTGTCGCAGAAATTGTAATGCAACGTGTGGAGGAACGCGCCCTTGCAACTTGCAGACAAACGATACCGCTTTGGTTACGCTACGTTGACGACACCTTTACCGCCGTTCACAAAGACGAAATTGACGCTTTTCACGACCACCTAAACGAACAGAACGCCGACATCCAGTTTACTATAGAGATCGAAGAAAATGGAAAACTTCCTTTCCTAGACTGTTTGTAAGCAGCGACAACAACGATCTGCGAACGACAGTGTACAGAAAACCGACGCACACCGACAGATTACTTGACGAATCGTCCTACAACCCGACTTCACACAAAGCCACGACTATAAAGACTTTGACGAGACGAGTGCAACTGGTTTGTGACCCACCGGACAGCTTACGTGACGAAAACAGATACCTTGAACGCGTTCTTCTCAAAAACAACTACAACCCTGACTTTATTAGACGAAAACGCAACAAACAGGAACCCAACACCTGTTACTACAGCGACTATAACTTACATTAATGCCACTTCTGAGACCATCTCACGGATCCCACAGCCCTACAACATCCGTGTAGCCCACAAACCTACAACTACGTTACGATACTTACTGACCAACATTAAAGACAGGGACGAACCTAACAACAGACAGGGAGCAGTTTACAAGGTCAAATGCTCCGACTGCCAGGCTTCCTACATTGGTGAGACTGGCAGAAACCTTAACACGAGACTCACTGAACACAAACGAGCCACGAGAAATGGTGATGCCAACAATCACATTGCTGTACATCATCAACTGACAAACCACAACATTGACTGGGACTCTGCTCAGTGCTTAACCTACAGTACAAACTACTTTCAACGACTGACCCTGGAAAGCTGGTACACTAACCTAGAACAAACGCCTCTTAACAGATGTCAACAACTACCGGCACCTTACAAACGACGTATCCACGGAAACGAAACCGGTGAACGGACTTCTAACAGACCGACTTAATTTGACTATCAATAGACAAACCGACCAATTTGACTGACAATAGACGGATCGAAACCGACCAATGACTGATGACAAACTTTACACGAGTTTTTCAGCCAATACTATCATGGCTAACCTGACCAATCACGTTCAACGGATCAGACTTATAACATCATCGACTGACAAACACTATTCACTTGACTCTGAAGATGACTCCCGCTCAGGTTGTCGAAACATCAGTCACCAACAACAGTTCCTTTCAGAACTACCCTCATCCGAACGATCACAATATACGAACTACTGATACTTCTGGATTCAAACCATTTACTATAATATGAATATCGTTTTCCGTGTCATTTCTCATAAGGGGAATAACGGAGAATTTTCCACAACAGAGCAATTGATGTGATGGGTACAGTTTTTTTTTTTAATTTAGTGTCAATAAATGATATGAAAGCATGTGTGATGTATTAGTGTTTTTCTTCTTAGCCTTCTGGGAAGCAACTCTGGATTTGGAAGACAAGGTTGTGACAATCAACAGTGAAAGCAGGTAATCTTATCTTGTACAAGTTAGCCTGTCCACAGACGTTTAATGTTTTGCTACGACTTGTCACGATGCGAGGGCGGCCACGTTTGTGGCTCAGCAACTTTCCCCACTGCCCAACCTCTTTCCGTTCGAGCTTTTTCAAATGCCACGTGGTTAACGCGCTCTCGACGAACTCAATACTCAAGTGTCGCCAAGAGATGCGTCAGGCAAAGGTTTTTGACTTCTGAATCCAAAATCCCGCCTGGTAGTGCTTTCCTATTCAATGCGTAATATTCCTTAATTGTTTTAAGAACAGACCAAGAAAAATATCCGTAAGGACACTGAGTTGTAATGTCGCCTTTCTCTTTTCCAGTGTCTTCTCACATTCAATAAACCAAATGGCGGAAGCACGTGTAGTAGCCTCATCTCGATGTCTTCCGATGATTCCCTGAATACTTCCGGTGTACCATATTAGGTCAAGATCGTAGTGTTTGGATCCGCGGTATATATTAGACAGGCGCAATGAAATTTTCTTAGCGGATGTTGCTCGCGGATGGAGTAGGAGTTTATTAGGTTTCGGGAAAAGAAAATGCGATGGCCATTGTTTTAGAACCGAAAACTTCGTACAACCTCATATCCCGAACGGAGTCAAGCAATAACAAGCTTCTAGTACACGTGAAATTAACGAATTATTCTTTACGAGTTAATTTGTAGACAGCGCGAGTAAGCAAACTTGTGTCTGTGTCCTTATACTGTAGAACCAACTGCATTGATTCCCCGGTGCTTCTTTGAAAAGTACTTTCCGATTCACTTCATTGTGTAACGCGCGGGCGCGCGGGCGACAACAACTTCCACTCAAGGAGTCCAACAGCCAACGGTTTAATTAGTCGACTGTTAACGTTCAGCTTACCTGTACACGGCAAGTCGACTCACACACATTCGCCACTACCTAACAAGAGTCTCTTATACATCCTGTATTACGAATGCATTGCGCATTCAGTACTCGCCATAGAACCGTCTCTTAATCTTAGAACTTGTGCGAGCATACATTCAAATACAACCGTTATACATCTTAGCACACGCACCTTAGCTCGTGCAATCACAATATCAATTTCATTACATTCCCCTCTTCCAATAACAGAGATGCCTCCCCGCATCAAGGGTCATTTTTAAGCCAACAACGCAGTTTCAAATATTAAAGAAAAAAACAACGACAAAGGAGAAAGCATTAATTTGAAAAGTCCTTCCCGAAAATACCTCTGATGTCTTACTTGAACTTAAATGTAACTTAAATGTAACTATGAACCGTTCCAAATGTCTTAATCGAACTGAAATATAAACTGTTGACAAACAGCAATGTTATCTCTGAGAAATGTTAACTCTTGATAAATAGAATTCCTGGGAACAAATTCCAAAATCATTGGCTGGACATGTACCTTCCGTAGGCGGTCATGGTGTACAACTCTGGGCTTTCCCTTGGGGGTCCTCTGGATTCGATATACTACGTCCGTAACTTCCCAGGGATCCCCAAAATGGAGTTTGCAGCTTCGGGCTTCCGCCTTTCTTGCTCTGAGGATTGTACAACCACACCTTGTCCTCCTCCCGATAGGAATTTGCATGAGATCTATGGTCATAGAGTTGCTCCTGTCGTCGGCTTGCGATGTTCAAATTGTTACGGGCAAGGTGGTGTACCTTTTCGACCTGTTCCCCGTGTATCGTTCCATCTTTCTTCTTCACAAGGACCACAGGAGAAGACCATGGATTCGATGACGGTTCAATATGCCTTTAGTCGACATTTTCTGTACCTCTTCCTCCGCCTTTTCTTTCAAGTAAAGGGCAAGTCGCCTCGGTGCTTGCTTGATAGGTTTTGATTTCCCTGTGACAATCCTGTGCTGGGTTATGCTGGTGTGGCCGAAAGGGTTTGTAGAGGTGGCAAACACATCTTGAGATTCATTGAGTAAGTCAGTCAACACTCCGATTTGTTCATCGTTCAAGCCATCTGAACTTGTATTTAGCAAGGGTAGAGATCTCTGCTGATCCTGGTGTTCGCATTCTTTTTGTTGAGACTCATGAGCAAGTCGTACAGCCGTCTTTGCCTCCTGAGACTGCCTCAACAACGGTTCTCCATCTACTGGTTCGCAAACAAATAGTGGTGTAACGATTCATATTCCTTGCGATTCGATTCAATTTCGATTATTGCCTTTCGATTTCGATTACTTCAATTCGATTATGCAAAATATTAATGTTCTTTTAATTCTTGCAATGTTCATGATACACAATGTAAACAACATACAACCCTTAACTCTCAATTTGAGGATACAATAGTAACAGGAACATTATCCTATTACAAGGATGCAATAAAAAAAAAACATGCAATTTGTCAGTGTTCTTCTTTGAGTTCTTTCTAGATCTAGTGCAAACTCAGATTTTTCTTTAAAAAAAGTAACTTGCCTACATGTTCACTACACAAACATGACCTCTGAGCAGACACAAGGTCCCCTGCAGAAGAGAAAACTCTCCCACTGGCCACAGATGTGGCAGGAACTCATAGATATATTTTGGCCAACTTTGACAAAATAGGGTATTTGAGCTCATTTGCTTTCCACCATGACAACGGATTAGAGTTCAATGGCATGGTTTATGCACTCTGCTGGGTAAGTCATACATTTATCTAGACTCTAGGACGTTGAACATGTGTTGAAAACCTTCATTTTCCACAACTGAATAGGGCCTCATTTCCTTTGCAATAAAAACTCCGATAGACTTCGTTATCGCCGTTGCCCTGTTGCCTGACTTCATAACATCGTGAATTTTTAACTGTCCTGTTCCAGTACTGCTTTTCGTACCCGGTGAAGTTTTTACCGTCTTTGAGTGCAACACTTCTGACTTTTCATCAATGCTGTGTTGACGTTTTAAGCGTGCGCTCATGCCTGAAGTTGAACCGACACAATACTTGAAAGTTGCTGAGCAAATTTTACAGATAGTTTTAGACTTGTCTATTGTACCGTCTTTATGCCGAAAAGCATAATATTTCCATACCGCCGATCTAAAAGAAGCAGGTGGATTCACAATCGCTTGGTCATTCGTCGCCATGTTTGAGAACGTGACAATAAGCATGTCGTACATGGTTTGCGTTATTTGGAAATTCTTAAGGGGTGGTAGAAGAGCAACATTTTTACCAAGCGAAACAAAATGGCGCAAGAAATGCAAACGTCTTTGCTCTTCAATCAGTAACGTACATTTTAAAGAGTTCTAAATTCTAATTTCACAATATAATGACTCACTGAGGGCACCATGGGAAAGGTATGCAAAAAATCGAACCAAAATCGAAACGTGGAATCAAAGAACCGTGAATCGAACTGAACGGTCATAATTGTGATTAATCGAGAATTCGATTAATCGTTACACCACTATCGCAAAGCGCTGCCAGAGTGTTTTGGTAGACCCGCCTTGGATATGACGTGGGGTTGAGAAGAGAATAGGGATCAGACCTTCCATTTTGACAAGTGATCTGCCTACCAAAAGTTTACTGCGCTGAACAAAATCCAGTGTGGGTTCCAGAATTGCCAGACCTTCATCACACTTGTCTAGAACCTTTGCGGCCGTTATCATCTCACTATGTGCTGGGACTAACACTGTATCCTCGACTACCACCCTTAAGCATTGATAATTGCTGAGCTCCGTCTCTTCTGCCGGTTTCGCTCCACTTCCACTTGAACTTGTCAACTCGCGGATA